AAAGCATCAAAATCAGCATCCACCTCCAAGGTGTGGGAGAGAGTCCGTCCACTTGAAGAAAATTGGTGCCTGCCATTGTCAACTTATCATTAAGAAAATGCTAGCAACTTGGCTATCATGTTGGCCCTGTTGTTCGATACTAAAACACATATGTTACGTCTCCTGACTTTACTATGACTTTTCTGATCAGCATTATTATTCTGGGTTAATGATTCTGCAAGTACTTCAGCCAGCAGGTCAGCAAAACAGCCAGGAAACTACCATTATCAGAGGAAGGTCTGCTATGGCAGCCCTCCCATATTTTATTTTAAAACCACTACTCTGGAAATGGGTCAGGTTCCGGTAATTTCCATCATATAGACATAACTTAGTAAAAGGCGCCAACAACTTGCTTTTGTCAGTTTAGGTTAACATATTCAAGTTTTTACCTCCTTGCTTTATGTGCTTCTTTGGACCATCTTCACACATGCTTGTGTCTTGCTCAGAAAGAGAGAACTTTCTTTTTAGTAATATGCCATTCTCCTCGCAGGACAAGAAAGGCTCTGAAGACACCCTTTTTAATCGGTCTTCACTGGCAATTTGATCATAGTGCAGGGTGTGCACAGACTGTGCACGGTGTAAACCACTGCTGGATGTGCTGGTGCTCTTCACTGTTCTTTCAGTACCTTCATCCTGGAAATGACAGAAAACAGATTTGAAGTTCTTTTGACTTAAAGTGCTTTTGTATAGTTTATATCTTACAGCATTGTAGGATGCGGTATAAAAAAAAAAGTCATTTGCAGTAAAACCAGCATGGAAAAAAGGCAGCAGGAGCTAGCAAACTCTAGCCAACAATATTAAAAAGGTAGATAAAAATGTTAGGCATTGGTACAGGGATGTGGACAACCAGGATCCTGGAATTTATCAAGGCCGTAACTACGGAAAAAAAAAAATAACGAAATGGGTATTTTTTCATAAGAAAATAAAAAGGGGGGTGTATTACCTCCTTCAAACATGGCTGCATAGGATATGTAGTTTCACTCTTCTCTGATCCCAACACAAAAGGTTTCAATGGTAAATTTGGCAAAGTTGTCATTTCAAGGTCCTTCAGTATACCTTCAACTGTCTCTTGTCCAGGTGACAGGAAGTCATGAAGAATCTGCATAGAGAATATGATGAAATGATAAAAGCCCAGTTCATGCACTTCTTTCACTACCACAAAAAGAAGCTATAAAAACAGAAAGAACACTCAAAGAGTGCGCACTCTCTACTTTCAATTCCCACTAAACCACACATTTCATTAAACACTGAAGATGCTTTACTCTGACAAAACAGGTCTAAGTTTTCAAAGTTGAAGCATTTAACTTGGGATTTCCCTCCCTGAGATCTGAATATATAAACAATTCATGGTCTTCATTACATTTCTGCTCAAGAAACCACCATATGAAAGCCTGCTGAGTTCCCCTACAAATGGTAAAGAACATAACAGTCAGGTACCGTACCTTTTCTATCTCTGTTCTTGCAGATGTAAACTCCTCATCTAATCCCAAGCACTGAAGATAACAGGTTAATGATTCATACAGATTTCCTGTGCCCTGTAGTATTTTTGCTTTTCTGTAATGCACCTAAAAATACAAATGAATAAAAATGCTTTAAAAACATGTTTGACAGCATGAAAGCATCAAATATGACAGTGCAATCATGAACTGGTTAATGTTCCAAGTAATGGCTTGCTGAAAAGGAAACTAGCATTTTTGAAGCAGACTGTTCCCATTCATATTAATAAAGTAGTGCCAATACCCAAAGTCACCAACACTCAATAATATGTACTCCTGCTTACATGATAGCAACTGTATGTGAAGAGCTGGACACAAAGCACACAACTGTCCAATGATGTTTATTTATAGGCCTTTACTGCTCGGCCGTAGATTTGATGTACTGGCAACAGTGTGGTCACCAACATAGCCATGCATCCCTGGATGCCAAGACTGTCTGAACACAATGACATATCCTTTGGCATGAAAAGATTTGCATTATAAAGTGAAATCATTTTACTGCAGCCAGCATACATCAGTCTAATGTAGAGAAATGTTTTGATGTAGGACATGTTTCATGCAAGGTTTAGGAATTGGAAAAGTTCCAGGTGAAGAACATCACATTCCTGAAGTCTGCCCATTAAAGTGTATTTCCACTTTTGCACCAAATTGGGAGAACACCCAATTCATATTTGTTACATCTTCCCATTCACATTGCATAAATATTTTTAAAATACCAGCATAACCTTTTTTTAATGTTCTATTCTGGAAACTCCAGGGCCGATAAATCCCACTTCGTTCTCACCATTGAAGCGGGCTGGGTGGAGCTTTGTTTGAACTAATTAACCCTGTCTGCACTGTGCTGCCAGATTTCATTATCACTTAAAAACGTGATGAGCCGGATTGTGTCCCGACAAAGGGTTAAAGACCTCAAGACAAGGGGGGAATTTATCAAAATTGGAGCAGTTGTCCATGGCAACCAATCAGCTTATCTCTTCAGTTTGCTCCGGTAAGATTTGAAAATGAGACAGAGAAGCTGATTGGTTGCAGTGCAAATCTGCTCCAGTATTGATAAATTCCCCCCATTGTATGTTAATGCATTATAAAAACCCTTGTCCCCTCAGTCTCTCCCCCTTAACTGAATGGAACAACTAGAAGCTGCATGTAGCGCCCCATGTATAATTCTGCTCCAAATAAACAGCTACAAAATATTTTTTTAAAACATTAAAAAGGTATTTTTTGGTATGCGATGTGAATGGGAACACAACATATAATGGGGGGGGGTTCTGAAATCTGACAGCAAAAGTATATTGACACTAAGACATATGAGCATTGATACATCACAAGGATTCGGATAGTCACCTCTGGCCAGTTGTGCTGTTTTGAAAGGACAAAGTCCAGTTCTTGTAGAGCTTTCCCAAATTCAGAGAGTGCAGCAAAGGACTCAGCTCTGTAAACACGCAGGATCAAATCGTTAGGATCTGCAAAGGTGAAACACGTACATAATTCAATAAATCATTCACAGAAGTAGCAGTATGCCAATCATTTGCTTTACTGATCAGATCTCTAGCAAAGGAAACATCACATAATGGATATTTACAGTCGGGTCATTTTGCAATCCCAGCTATTACTGAACACATAATGTAGCCAAAAGAAGACAGTTTACCTGGTAGTAGAACAACATGAAATCAGCAGTAGGTGGCAGCTTTAAGAAGTTCCTATGTCTAGGACCTCAGATTTAAAATGAGAACACTGCATTATCCTGAAGAGACTGGCCACATAAATTGTAGATCTGCTCCCTATGGAGAACAGTTGTACAGCAGTGATGTCTGCTCCCTCCGCCTCCTCCTCTACCCGTTCCATAACAGTTAGGTATGCAATGCTTGTTGTGTAACGCATGACATCAGAAGTGGCTCGTTTCATAACCAGGAGCCATGTGAGCACATTAGGGCGTAGCCTTTCCATGGGAGCAGAATGAGAAGGCTTCTCAATCCCTTATCACTGAAAACTTTACATTCACTCCACTGTTATCACAAACCGGGAAACAAAGCTAAACCAGGAACGTTAATTGACTGAACTCAAAACTTGTGGGCTCCTATTTCACAAATTACATTTTATATATACACAAGGAAATCTGACCAAAACAATTTCACATCAGTGGCCTGTAAAAACTGGAGCCTTCAAAAGTGCGAACATACAAATGAACCGAATAGGAATACGTTAAGTCACAAGGGAAAAACATACCAGGATGTCTTGTATGGTGTAGAAGGGAAAACAGCAATTCTTAGAACCAGTAAAACCCAGCAGACAGGTGTCAGCGCACCTTAGAAATGACAGCTGGTTTCTAACTTTTGAGGTTCTCTCTAGTTGTTGTCAATAGAGCGGACTCCTAAAAACATATGACCAGAGTATTACAGGCTGCTCCACAAGCAGTGTCTTATATCTGAAGCCCTGTTGTCTCCAAGGTCACTTCTTAAAGGGAAACATTAGGATTTCATTTTATAAAATGGAACCGAGTTCAAGTGGCTGTAAAATCTTCTGCATCCAACAAATTCCAGATGTGTCTGATGCGTGGTCCCATCCGCCAGTCCCTTTGTCACTATGGTTTCCTGTAGTGGCCAGTGGATGGAACCACAATGCAGCGAGGGGGACTGGGCAGAAATATCTGATGCTAAAACAATCTTCAGCAAACTTAGCTCTGGAACAAAGCCAACATCAGCGTGACAAGTCTGTATTAACCATCACTCAAGGCTCCCGCCTCAGCGACTACATTGTCATGGTTTATGATTGGGAGTCAGGAATGGGCCAAGCCGGACAGTCACAGAGATCACATGATTGCGAGGCCCGCCTCTGCCACCCGGCATTAAGGATGGGGCAATCCCCGCCAGCTGGAATGGGTTATTATATGACAAAGATATTCCAAAGAGGTCTGGGAATTCTAACGAAATATAGCAAAGGCTCCCTGACTAAAACCTCAGCAAGAGCCCTCCGACAATGAGGAGTCCCTCCTGACTCATTCACCGCAGTGTTAAAGTTGTCCTAAATGCAAGAAATTAGTCAAAAGCTCCACTCCTGGCTAAAAATAACAATACAAAACTCGTATTCTACTCATTTCAAATAAAACTGGAAAACATTAAACTCCTGAACATAATACACATTCCAAACAAGACCAGATCTCCCCCAATAAGAATTCTATGGAAAGGTTTTGGAATTCTCCTTCATTTCACTGTCTGATAATCAGAGAATTCGAGTGTACGAAACTGTAGAAAAACGTGCGATATGTCAGAGCGGTCCAATGATTGTTCACCTGAGTCTTTTATCAAACAATGCTCAGGATGAAGGATCTGGTTATTCCCAATGGGCCTGTTCACACCGGAGCACTGTGTCACTTGTTGCCAGTCACAGGAGGCATGAAAAAGTACATGAGCTTCTTTAGGGGCAGTACCGTGTGTTTTTGGATCTACACACTTTAACTGGAGCTCCTGAAAAATGAATGTTTATCTGTTGGGGGTCTATGGGGTTAGACAACAAAACTGCATAACCCTGCTCCTGTAGTACAAGTCATGCTTGTAGAACTTTGCTGACGTCCAAGCACCTAATCCAGGCCTAGAGACACTTTACTGTGTGCATAGCCCTCAGTCTCCTGGTCACAGACAAGTCTACTGGCCAATTAAACAAACTTTAGAATACAGAAAAGGAAGGGCTTTAGAGCTGAGAGCGCGGAGATTTATAGATAGGATCACCTGGACATCTTTTCCCCTTCTCTACCTCTGTAAAATGACAAAACATAAAGGAGGGGCAGCAACTCTACAGCTTCTCTGGAGGCCAAGGATCTATAGCAATGAACTGACTGGTCTCATCACAAAACTCCAATAGAATATGGTTAGGGACATACACCTAGTGACCAAACAGCACAATTTGTAAAGCCAACTCCAAGGAAGTGAAAAGTCTCCCCTTGTGGTGGGGCCGCCCCTGTTATCTGCTAGTTTATGCCTAGAGGACAGGAAAAATCAGTTTTACTTACCTAATCCCCGCTCACTCGGAAGTCGGCGCAATCCTCATCTGGACTGTACCTCGGTGTCCTCACTTATAATGCAGGGCAACGGAGCCTGCATTGTACTTAAGGAGGCAGCAGACTGGAATGAAGGGAAGAAGTGGATGCGGGGACCAGTCTAGCAGCCTGGAGGGAGCGAGGAGGCAGTTAACTCTTGCAGTGCAGGGGCAGCCTCACTATAAGGGATGACTTCATTTCCCTGGAGTTAATCTTGAAGTTCAGAGCCATACAAACGTCAAAGTGAAAGCATCTCACGGTAGTCTTCATCCGCAGAGAAATATTGCTCACCTCCTGAAAATTATATACAGCAAATGCTAACTGAGTGGAGGAGCGCTACTTTCTTTCTAAGCTTTCCTGAAACCGAGAGTGACCTGCTTGTATCTGCCTGCAATACTTCTGAGTCACACATGAAACAAGCCTGCAGCAAAGTATGAGTGAGATGGGAATTCCTAATCCCTTTAGCCCACACTGCCAGGCAACTAGCATTTTCAATGGCAGAGGTCAGCAACATGCTCCTTTTTCCCCTCGCCACAAGTTTCCTATAGGTTACTGAAGTAGAACTGTATGCAGCTTGCGGTGACATTCCCTCAACTGTCACCCAGCTAAGCCTTGGCATACGCATGCGTTACAACCCCTTTACATAAGCAGCACACCCTGCCCCGGTAATGAAACTGGTGGTGGTGGTGGTGCCCCTGTGTCACCAGGCCTATAGTCTTGGCATGGGCAGGATGCTTCCCACAGGTTTACATGACTTAGACACAGAAGTTCCGGTGTGAATAGTGACTGTAGCCCCTTTCACACCTGTGATTACACCAATCAAAAATACACTGCAATGTATCCCTATGGGTGGCCGGACCCAAGTAGACATTCGTCCAACACAGGATGGTGGACCTATCAGAGAGGACACGGATGGGACATCTGTTTGCATTGTGATCCGACTCAGCAGGGGGGGGGGGGGGAATCAGTCTAGGATCCTGACGGAGGGCAGACGAGTGAAATGGCCTTATGGTCCTTTATGACACAAAATCAGAGCTTAGGACTCACCACATACCGTGCAATCTCCTTTAGACCTGTCTGATTGGATCGATGAGGTAGATCTTCAAATGACATTGAAATTACCAAAGCTATGCAACACAAGGATCTATCGATTTTGTATTCAGACAGGCCCTTGTGCTACATAGACCTGAAATAGATTGCAACACAAGTCACAATGTACTGCGTACGGTAACCCGCACCTACCTGGGCACATCCTATTCTACGATCATATAAGCAAAAGACTTCACTAAAGCCAATGCCACCGTCCAATCAGCGGCCAGTACAAAGGACACATGACCCCTGGTAGCCAATACCTGCGCTGATGGCCAGGCGGACGGTGTCCAGCGCTTCCCGGTTTTCTCCGGCCTCCAGCAACTCAGCGATGTCCCGGTGCTGTCCGCTCCTCCCGGGGTCACATTTGTCGGAAAGCTGTTTCAGCAGCACATTGCTCCGGCGGGGCGGGCGGCCCGGCTCTCCATGGCACAGGCGGCAGCGTCTCCGATGTTCTCCCCGCAGGCAATGCCAGCAGTAGCTGTGCCCGCACTGGATGGTCACAGGCTCCCTCAGAAAGCCCCGGCATCCCGGACACACCAGCCAGGTCCCGTCGCCCTCGTTCACAGCAGCGCCGTCGCGATACTGCCGCAACAAACACTCGAGCAGAGCGTCCAGCTGTAATGGCCTCGACGTATCCAGCGCCTCCTTCACGGCGGCCACCCCGCAGCGAGCTCCGGTCGGAGACGACATGTCTAGCTGTATCCCTGGCAGCCACCGTACCACATACCAGCACTAGTGTCCGCTCCCAACACTACTGCCAGACCTTACATAAAGACAAGCACGGCAGGCGTGTCATGTGATCGGCCCCGCCACTTCTCATTGGCTGCGGCCTGGCAGAAGGTTACAAAACACATGGCGGCTGCGAGCCAGTTTCATAACAGCGGACAGAGAGACGGGCGGGGCGAGAGGGTGACGTGAGGAAGCTCACATAACGAACTGTGTGCGGTGTCACCTCCCGGGGAAGTCGTGACAAAGTGAAAGTTCACTGCAATGGGGCTTATAGTGTATGGTTCAAAAATACCTGTCACCAGGAGGATTATGTAACAAGCTGAACATCCAGCCGGAACTTTTTTTTAAGTGCACCGAAATGAGGCATGGTACAACCACATTGCACTGCAGTGAGCCCATATTAATAAAATGTCACTTGTGTGTGGTGCTGTTGAGTGCGGCTGTTGGTGTGAACAAGCCATTAGGGTCCGGTTAATACCACAAACTGTGCGTTACAGGGCGGTCAGGCTCTGGAACGTACTGTGCGGCTCCCTGCGTTCAGAGGCGTGGCGGTGCATTGAAGTCAATGGCACCGCAGCCACGCCCCCTGCCCGTAGTGCAATTGCCCGCAACCGGTCAGATGTTACCTGTAATGGTGTGCAATACTTCTGCTGTGTACACAGATGTTACCTGTAATGGTGTGCAATACTTCTGCTGTGTACACAGATGTTACCTGTAATGGTGTGCAATACTTCTGCTGTGTACACAGATGTTACCTGTAATGGTGTGCAATACTTCTGCTGTGTACAGTAAAATCCTAGTATCATTGATGATGGAGAGTGCACGATACTGATAGTATTGATATTGGTGCCGATACCAAGTATTTGGAGTATTAAGATTCGCACACAGAAATACAAACATACAAATACGCACACACAGAAATACGCGCGCACACACCCAACCAGAAAAGCACACACTAATACACACACACAATAAGGCCCCCTTCACACCTGTAGGTTTAGGTGCGATCAGGGATTCCTGTGTCAGGAATTCTACAGCAGGAATCTCTAATCTGTTTACAAGCAGCAGATGTCACCCGTTCAAGCTAATGATTTGGTGACATTCACTGCATGTAAACACCGGCACACCACATGTAATCATATGTGATATGGTTAGGAATCCATCAGTTAATGATACATCCAGGGATAGTGATTATTTTCTGACTACCTGTAATCATATCACATGCGTCTCGCGGTATACTGAGCTTAGGGTGACGGGAGGACGCTAGTTTGCCGTTACCCTAAGGAGAACTATGGGGGAAACCCCTGACCCCATAGTTCTCCTTTAATCAAAACAAAGTGCATTAGTTCATATAAAGTGCCACTAGTCCATCCTAAGTGCTTGTAATCAGTGATTTAGAGTAGAAATCTGATTTTGTTTTATTTGATTATTTGGGCACTTTATATAGTTTGACTATCACTAATAGAGTTAAAGGTATTTTATTAATTTATAGTTTATTTTTGTAGCGCAGTGCAATATTTTATTATGATTTTCAAGTGGTATATATCACTTTGTGCGCAGCTGCTGGGTGTTGAGTTTAGTGTAGTCTAGACAGGGTAGAAGACTTTTCTAAATGAACATATTAATCGATAACTACATGCGCTTTTATTTATTTTAGAAATAAATGTTTTATTTTGAGTTATTTGGCAGTTACTTGACCATGCAGCCTTTCTTCTAGTACAGCGGTTCTCAACCCAAAAGTGGGTCACAACCCCCTGTTGAGTGAGTCGCCTCATGCTTTCTGCTGCGATAGGTGAGAGGCTCCTCAGGCTCCTCCTAGCGCGGCAGTGTCAGTTCTCCTGCCATGCCACCAGATGTCGCTGCAGCAGCCACGGCCTGGGAGGAGCTGACAGCAGGCAAGTGTTTTTTTTTTCTACATTTAGCCCTGCTTCGGGGAAGCAGGGCTAAATGTACAGAGGGGGAGCCGGTCAAGTGATTTTGGCGGCTGTACAGCCACCTACATCACTTGTATATACTGAATACTCTTACTCGCCCAAATGCTCCAATACTTACCTCCGATACCAGAACATCCAGTCGGAGGGAGATCTTTCTCTGACCGGCAGTGTCGAGGGAGCATGGAGCCGGCTTCCTTTCCAATCAGGAAATTACCCACCTCTCGGCTTCCTGATTGGCTAGGAAGCCAGCTTCACTTGTTGCTAGGCAGCCTGGTGTCCTGACCAATCAGGAGGCTGAGAGATGGGTCATGACGTGCCGTCTGGCTTCCTGATTGGTCAGGAATCCCGGCTGCCTAGCAACAAGTGAAGCCAGCTTCCTAGCCAATCAGGAAGCCTGCAACACGTCATGACCCGCCTCTTGACTTCCTGATTGGCCAGGAAGTCAGGCAGCCTCGGAAAGTGAAGCCGGTGTTCTTTTGATAGAACAGGCAATCAGGAAGCTGGGCACCGGGTCATGATCTGCCGCCCGGCTTCTTGATAATTGGGCACACAGAACCGATATCAGCGAGTACAGAAAAAAAATATACTCGTTCTCGATACCGAATAAAAACAGAATCGGTGCATCCCTAATAATAATTATAATAATGTAACCGTTGGGGTCACCACAACTTGGCAATTGTTACCAGGGGGTCCCAGCCATAGAAAGGTTGAGAACTACTGTTCTAGTATCAGACATTACACACAGCAGAGTAGTGCATTCCCTGTCGGCGTATGCTGCATTAACCAGCTCTTTGGACAGCGAGGTTATCCATAAACCCACACGGTATGGAGGGGAAGGCATTGAGCGCACTACAGCAGATACAAGCACGCTGTTCACGAGTGTTCCGTTTCTGCAAAGAAGAACACAGATATGCAAACTGACCATGACAGCTCTGATCTGCTTCCATGCTTGGAGTGGTCACATTGATGAAGGGATCACTCCCAGTTATCTGGTGCCCATGGGGATTGGTAGATGCCGGATAACTGTAGTTTCTGGTTGCTTGAGAGGTAACCTGAGAGAGAAAGTTCACTCTCAGGTCCGCTCCTCTGCTCAGTGGGTGGGTGCCATTGCTAGCCTGCTATTGCCTATTGCAATAACGCCTTTCACCAGCCCGGATATAGCCCCTGAAGCCATTCAGAACGTCTCCTTCTGATTGGCCAAAGAGTGATTGTGACAAAGCAGTGTACAAAAACATTTTTTGGGACTTTCTGCTGTTTCTCTGACAGACGGCAGAGGGTAAAGGCCAGTGCAATGTACGCCATGTCCTTTGTACACTGTGTAATAGTGGTGTAAAGAGACAAAGATAATACAAATATTGGCTCATCTATAAAACCTCATTTGTGTGACTGCCTGCCTCATGTTTACAAGTATCCTTCATTTTTGTTGTTTAGAAGGGATAGGGTGAGGTTAGATATAGGTGGTGTTTTGTCATTACGGCTTAATTCCAGGTCATTTCTCCACAAATCCCTGGAACTTTTCTAGAAGGAGTAATATTTGGGGTGTTTTTGATATTCTGGCCCCTTTAGTCTCTAAGCATAGTTTGAAGCCAAAAAGTCAACTATGGAAAAACTGCTCCCTTAAAGGAGAACTATGAGGTAAGTGATTTTCACTCACCTCATAGTTCTAGCCGACCTGTGACAATGAGACTGTCACAGGTCGGCTCAGTAGATCGGGAAGTGAACGAACACATACCGGCGTTCGCTCACTTCTCGATCCTGTCACGGCAGAGAGCCGTGACAGGGGAGGGGCTGGATTCCCCGCTCCGATCCTCCTGCGCTGACTGGCGAAACGGACGGGGAAGGGGGCGGGTACAGCTGGCTCTGCCTCTAGATAGGCAGTGCCAGCTGTCACTCACGCAGCTGGGCGGATCCAGACATAATTGTTGAGATTTCAGCTGCGGCGTCTCAGTATACCGTGAGCTGTAGCTCGCGGTATACTGAGCTTAGGGTGACGGGAGGACGCTAGTTTGTGTCCTCCCGTTACCCTAAGGAGAACTATGGGGAAAAGCCCTAACCCCATAGTTCTCCTTTAAGGGCTTGTTCACACCATTTTCTGGTGCGGATCTGCAGATGCCATGCTCTGCATGCGTTTTTGACATGTTTTTTATGAGTTTTTACCGTGGTCCGGACGCTGACAGTTCATTTTTTTTTTTTTAAGCCGTGGGGCTGTCAGTATGCAGATTCTTCCTCTGAGGTCACTTCCTCCCTCTCGTAACAACCACTTCCCTTTGTGTCTGTAAAGCTGGTGATCAGTTTGCAGTGCTGGCTATCTCTCCAGTTTTGATTTTTTTTATGCACATTTTTGAAATGTGGATGACGAGGGTCGCATAGCATTGGCGCACACTCCATAAATCATTATGTATTTTTTACTTTACTTTTAAGGGCTTCGGGGAAATAGTACCCCTGATATTTCCCTTTTAAAATAGAAAAAGAGATTGGGGACACAGAGTCCTCAATCTCTTATTTTGTATCCCCTGTTATAAATGAACAGGAATCCTCTATACTGAGTGTTCCTGTTCATTGGTAACATGAGAACATAGTGTGTTTACTATAACTACAACTATGAATGGACAGGAGGTGATGTAGATCACTCCCATTCATTCATAATTGAGGATATAGTAACCATACCATGTCCTCAATTATCTACAAACACTCACTGATCACTGAGTGTTTGTACCGCTCTCCTCTCTGACAGCTGTCACAGGAGGCTGAGCGAGCGGTGTAGGGAGGAGAGCTCAGCCTCCTCCTGACAGCGCGGGCTGTCTCTGCCCACACTGCCGGACTGTGATAGGAGGCTGAACGGTTTGGGAGGAGAGACGCCGGCCGCTCACAGCGCTCTCCTCCCGCAGAGCTCGGCCGGCTGTCACACTTTCTCTCCTCCCCGGTGGGACACAGAGCAGCCGCCCAGCGGGGAGGAAAGAAAGCAGGGATGCGCCACTATATCGGCAGGCAAATGGCACTTTCGGCATTTAGCCAAAAGTTCCATTTTCAGCCGATATGTTTCGGCGGCCGATATATCGGTGCATCCCTAATTGTTATAGTTGATTTTTCTGTGCTATGATGTCTCTTTGTGATCATTGTTTTATTACAATCAGAACATCTACCGCATCATGTTGTTTGCTTGAACCCTTCTGCGTGCAATAAAAATATTTGTGGATTCAAAGTATTTGGTGAGTTCAGCTATTTGATGAAGATTGTCAATAATG